CCTTGGTGACGTACTCATTTCCGACCTTGACTCTGGGGTAGCACAAAGCCTTAAGCATGTCAGCAGAGTTCAGACCCAACAGGTAAGCGACCTTGTCAGCATCTGTAAAAGTATTTATATGTTGTGTTAATCATAAGCAATGAAACAGTATGTCATACCAATTCAGTAAACAAAAGCTAATCTTACCCTCTGTGCCATCGGGCTCAGCCTGCTCCTCACGCTGCTTCTGCTTGAACTTCATGTTGCCGTGGTGGAGGACAGCACCAGTCATTTTGTAGATGCTCATCTTCTCCTCATTAGTGAAGCCCAGGATGTCAATGGCATTCTGGTTTCAAGAAGTTCCCATAATTACGTCTCATCATATTTAGTTAAAATATGTATAATCGTAGATTTTTTTTTGTCACTTACATCAGTGGCTTCCAGCTCAACTTTGTCATCAATGCTAGCAACAGTGATTTGACCCATGCTGCACATAGGGAAGTCGTATGGGTTGGTTGTGATGAGAGCCATTTCTGCAAAACAGAGAAAAAACTGTAATTTTGAGTGCCCAGAAAAAGTAAAATTGCACATACAATTGCAGGAACACATACAGTGCACATGCACATACACTGCACTGACTGAGGGGTCACACAGATATAGGGCCACGTGGTAATATAAAAGATAAAACTATGAGTTAGTGTTAATTTAGTTAAATCACATTCTGTTGTCTAAATAAAGAGTGTTTTTATCATCAGTGTATGAGATTCAGTATTGTGACCATACCGGCTTGACAAAATCTGATCCTGAGATCCTGTCAGATCTCAGAACCTAAGTAAGGTCGGGCCTGGTTAGTACTTGGATGGGAGACTGCTGAGAAAATCAGGTGCCACATTGGGGTGCCAGTCACAAAAAACTGTCATTGTGTCCTTAGGCAACTCACTTGCACATTGCCTAGTATGAAAGTGGTGTGTGCGTGAGTGATAGTGGTGGTCGGAAGGACCAATGACTACAATAGTGGTTTACCATCACTGGATGTGGAGAGAAAAGAATAATGAATCTATAATGCTCTGTAAAGTGTCTTTGTGACATATGTCTGTTAAAAGCACTATATAAATAAAGACTTCTTTACTTATTGAGTATCGAGTTAATTCATTCGTATCGAAATCAAGAATTTTTTTGTATCATGAAAACAACCTACCAATAAGTTCAGGCTTGTGGTTGGTCATCATCTGGTAGAAGATGTGGTAGCCTCTCTCATCGGAAAGCTGGAATGTCACTCTAGACTTCTCCAGCAGATCTGTAAGTGTTGGGAAATTGTTAAAAAAATTCTAATCATTTTACATCCAAGTATAACAGCAAAATCCTACTTACAGGTTTCAATGTCAGCACTAGCCAGTTTACCAGTTGTGCCGAAATGAATTCTGATGAATTTACCCTATTTGGTTAAAATCAATGTTAGTTATATATATGTATATCTATATTCATACAAATCTTCAGGCAACATTTTTAGAAATAGATTTTTTTTTTTCAAATGTTAGAATACTTACAAAACGAGAGGAGTTGTCATTTCTCACAGTCTTGGCATTACCATAGGCCTCCAGCAGAGGGTTGGCTGCAATAATCTGGTCCTCCAGGGAGCCCTGTAGAGAAAATTATGGTTGTGTTTGAACTTTTATATTTCAAATTTGAGCTGATTTAGTGTTACGTAAATTAAAACCAAAACTAACCTGCATCTTTCCTGGAGCAGCATCCTTCTTCTTATCTCCACCAACGGAGATTGTTGCAAAGTACTGGATGACACGCTTGGTGTTCACAGTCTTTCCAGCACCAGATTCTCCACTGGGGATGAAAAAGACTTTTAAGAATCATGTGTGAAGCTAAATAAGAATTAAGTACAGAAACAAATGAGAAACGTACGTGATCAAGACAGACTGGTTCTCCCTATCTGTTAAAATACAAAACAAAACATGTATGAATAAATATAGATTTGAATATAAAGTTAAAGTTATTTTGTTCTTATCAATAGGGCGTACCAGTAAGCATGAACTGATAAGCGTTGTCAGAGACGGAGAAGATGTGGGGTGGAGCCTCCATACGCTTCTTGCCTCTGTAGGCACTCACAACTTCCTGGTCGTACACTGGCAGCCACTTGTAGGGGTTGACAGTGGCACAGAACAGCCCAGAGTAGGTCTGAAGAAATGTACACACAAACATTAATTTAAGCTTTTCCTAATGCTGTATTTATATGTTAGAACATTTTAAATAAAATCTGTCTTACGTAGATCATCCATGCTGCATAACGCTCTTTGAGGTTATAAAGCACAGAGGCTTCATTGAGGTGGGTCATCATGGCCATGTCCTCAATTTTGTCGAACTTAGGAGGGTTCATGGGAGAAACTTCATCTTCTTTAACTGTCCTCTCCTATGATAGACCATGTGTCAGCAGGAAATTGTTGTTGTTTTTTTTCTGTTGTTGAATTCATTATTATTTTAAAATAGACTTAAAATGCACTAACCTCCTGAGTGTCCAAGACCTTGACAGTGACTTTGCCACCATCCTTCTTCAAAATAGTTGCCTTCAGGTACAGTTCCTTGGCATCAACCACATAGCAGGCAGTCTTGGCATCAAAGGGTTTGTTCTGGGCCTCAATTCTCTCCTTCTCTGGTTTACGGAGGTAAATGGCAGCTTTGCCATAAATGGCCATCTCCGCGTCCGTACTCATGGTGGCGGTTTAGTTCTGCAAAATAAAGTTTTTGTACTGAATGGTTGTTGTCATAAGTAAAATTGCAGTTGTACTAATTTGTAAGCTATTGTGGAAATTTCGCTACGGATGTATGGGGAAAAAAATGAAGATGTAAAATGGAAGTATCACACTCTGCCTGTTGTCCTTCTCCAGGCAGAATGCTGCTGTGCCAGATCTGAGAGCTTGGTTTCAAAATATCTATGTCTCCCAAACCCTTTCCCTTTTCAAATATCCCCTATAGATTGCTTTCTCCTTGGCTTTTAACTCATTTTACGGTTGACTATGTACCATTTGTTGTTTGTCTAGGTTTCTGGTGAATTTGTTTGCAGCATTTTGGTCAACTGTGTTGTTTTTAACTTGCTCTAGAAATGCTGTTGAGAGTTAGTAATGAATATTGGTGTTTTGAAAAAGATTATCAGTATAGATTTTATTCAAATAGCTTTTTAGATAAGTGCCATCTTATGTGTAGGAAATAGTTAAATAGAACCTGATTATCCCAACACAGTGCAGGGTGTATGTTGCAAATGTTTTTAAAAGAAGGTCTTTCAGTGTCATTATTAACATGTGCCAATCTTATCAATTCCACTTACCTTAAACCTTTATCTATGTGAAAAGAATATTGTATTCTCTGGGCCTGTTGGAGACAGTAAATTAGTAGTTAGTCATAAAGTATTTTGTTAAGTCCTGAAATAGTAAAATAACATATTTACTTAAATAAAAATCTGAATAAAATAAATTTCCAAGTTAAAGCTGGAGCTAAACTTACCACAAGCAGGAACAGTTCTTCAGCCACACACTCTGAGGGCCCTCTCGGACTCCTTATATTCAGTCCGGTGTGCTTACAAAGCACGGCTCAAATATGACCACATGCCATATAAGGCTTGTGAGATACTGGAGTACAGTGGCAAGAGGAATATTTGTCCTCTTCTAAATTTAGACTATAGATGTAGTTCTCAAAGTTCTTTTTCCTATTTCTTTTCTTTTATACATTTACAAATAGTTACTTGCCTCCAGATTATTAATTATTAATCATGCTTTATTCGATTTAATGATAAAATGATAACGTTGACATCTTAATTGACAAAGACAGGGCTCGTAATTCTGTTGCTGAAAATTAAAATACATTTAAAAAAGTTAATTAATTTTGTTATTTGTGAGCATGGTGACAAATGCACTTGGTCTCATTTATGCTTGTAAAATGTATGGTCAAAGAAAAGTGTGCCCATTTGTCAACGCTAATATGTTTTATGGCTCGTTTTAACGATACATTTATGTTTCAATACTTTCATTCCTGTCACGCCTTAGAGACATGCGTAAGCACACACTAAATTTGGGAGGAGGCTTGTTTCACTTTGTAATGGGATAGGTCACAGAAACATGTACTGGAAGAGGTGTGCGGTGTCCACGCACGATGGAACAAGACTAGAGATTCTTGACATCTAAATTAGTGCTTACTTTCACTTGGACCACCTTTGGAAATGTCTAATTGCGTCAGTGATGATAAACGGCAGCGTGCTGCATAAGCGGCTTGATGGAGCATCAAGTTGAGTCTTTCTGAGCATCTGCGTTTAGAAGGACGCGGATGCCTGTGTAGCGAACTTAAGCATCACTTATAATCAGAATATGATTTTGTTTATTTTATTGATGACAGATAACTGTATAAATACATGATAAGCCATATATCAGGGGTTCATATTAAATGCATAAACTGGCAATACAGGATCGGCTGCGCCAAAACGAAACCAAAACAAAAAAATAGGCAAACAAAGCGACCATGAGTTTCGTTTTTAGGTTCTGTTGTGCCAAAACTCTGTGTAGGTCTACTGGTGAGTGTATTCTTCTTTTTTCTCATTTCTATAGGCCTATTAACTGTCATTACTACCCCTATGATCTTGAGATGTTTACTTCAAGTTTAGATTGTAACGCATTTTTACACCTTGCACAAAGACGTACGAAGGCATTAGCCTAAAAAGACGCAATTCGGCATAGCAGTTAGGAAGGGACATATCGGTAAGACATGTTTCAAAATTCAGGTCTCTAAGCTTTTGGTACGGAGACTTTTATAACAGTAGCCTCATCATTTAGAACAGGTAAACGAAGCCCATACAAATATAACTTTATACAAACCTTAGTTCACCGCATGAAGACAAAATATAATGTATCGCATCATTTTCCCCTTGTCTTTATCAAATGCAAAAAAGAAAAATATACATCATACAGACAACCAACAATAACGGGATTATTAATTGTTCTTATGTGCAGCTTTTGCAGTTTAAAATGGAGGAGGAAGCTGATCCTGATGTGGAAAATGCCAAAACTGTCTTAGATCAGGAGTACTCTGAGCTCTTGCACATCCTCACTAATCAAGCATCTACGACTCTTGAAAAATTATGTGCACCACTTAATTCCAGTGCAGGGCCGATCAGTACCATCAGCCCCCCTAGTTCTCCTGCAGCAAGGGTAAAAGATTTATTGGACTACTACAGCACCGCAGACTCTCCACTGTGCTGCGACTTTCTGCAGCGCATCTGCTTGTTATGTGAGAACATCCCTATGTGGCTGGAATCAAGGCTCATGTCCGCGTCTGGAAATCCAACCAGTAAGTGCTAACAAGTTAATTGCATTCAGTATATTTATTTGAATGGCTGAGTGATACTGTGTCAACTATTTTTAACAATTGGGCAAGTCCTCAACTAGAGTGGGCAGTCTAAAAGGCTGAATAGATCTTTACTTTTATACAAATCTTATTTCATATTTTCACTACATGATTAAAAGAGAACTCTTATCTCTTATTACAGTGGGTTTATAGCAGGTAAAACAATGCAGCATTGCCAAACTTCAAAAAGCAAAAGCACAACATACAGAAAATACAACAGAGTATCACATAGTTCATTGAGTAAAAAAATATTTAAAGTGAAACTGAAACAACTAACCATGTCTTACAAGATCTGCATTATTGGCTAATTTCTCTCCTCCTCAGAAATCCCCTTTAATCCCCATCACATCAAAAACAGAACTAGACATTGATACTTGTTAACGCTTAAAAATAATGTAGTAATAGTTGTAAAGTTTAACTGTGTGCTAAACCTGTGACCTGCTTGTTTCCTCCCAGATGTTTGTGACATTTCCAGACTACATGTAACAGAGTCTCCGGAGAAGCAGATAATTAAAAGACCCCGCATTGGTATATAGTAATATATAATTTTTCTCATCATTCTGAACACTGAGTTTGTGAGACAGGGTGACATGAATCTATCTATCTACATCATGTAAATAGTATAGGTTTTAGTACTCTCAATAAGTCTATTTAAACCAGTTTATACAGCTGTCCCCGTGAAAGTGAATGAGCTGTCATTACCCCAGTAATGTGTTACTGCAGTGGTAAAAGAAGCATGCTAACAGCATTTATTAGGGGCATTAGATTACAAGTTTAAGCCTCTCTCATGCAGAGTCTCTCTGGTTTCAAATATACTGCTTCAGCTACGTTTAGATTTTGAAGAGGTTGATTGTTGTAATAGCGTGTGGATATTTTCATTGAAGAAAAAAAACAAAACACTAAAATAATTTCTCAGACTTTGCTGTGGAGTTAGTAAGGAGTTAGTCTTTAAAGTACACTGTTGCTCTTAAGTCCTTTATATCAAGCACACCTTTGATGATTTAAAACATAGTTTGCTAATGCATACCTAAAACTGAGCATATTAACAATGTGACTGTTATGTAGATGCAGATTCCTGGGATCAGTTTATTACTTCAATCAAAGAGTTTTTGAGGAGGAGGTGGAAAGCCATGAGGAAGCATCTGGTGATGGATGTGGAACTGGATCAGGTGTGGGTCAGGGTGAGGAGAGTGAACAGAGCCAGAGACCGGCCAGACCAAACCCCTGGCAGAACACCTGGTATCTCAAAATATTTAATGAATGTACTACAATTTCCTCTTATATCAAGTAAAGAAATAATATACTTATTTATGAATTAAACCTTTGACAGATTCAGATGTGGAGTGTGGGTTTCCAGAGAGTAGAGTGACTCTTGACACCTTCCTTCAAAGCAGTATGGGAAAAGTCACTATTTTGTATGGACCACCAGGATCAGGAAAAACTGTCCTTATGTCTCGTTTAGGAGAGCGTTGGGCATGTGATTTGGTAATTTCACACACGTCTCAGTATACACACATTTTAATGTGAGTTCTGGGTGGATAACTTTTTTTTTTTCCTTTCAGGGGCATATCCCTTCTTCCCATTTATTTGTTCTGCTTGAATTCCGCCACCTCAATTTGCTGTCCCAGACCCTCTCGTTTTATGATCTGCTGTTCCAGTATTATCCGTCTCCACAAGGAGGGGAAAATGAGAAGGTTTGATTTAAGCATCAATGATCTTAAAATATATAGTATCTTAGTAGTATTTAAGTGTTTTACCAGCACTGTTGCAATATTCTTCGAGACGTCTTCTCTGCTCCTGTCTGTTCATCATATTTGATATGTTTCTCCAGGAGCTTGTCATTTTGACAAAAGATTAGGGCAGGAAATTACAGTAGGGAGTACAACACCTTTAATTTATTCAACTGATTTAATTATTTTTTTTAAAATGTGTCTGCACAGATAGCCATTGTAGACTACCTCATGTCTAATCCAGAGCAAAGTTGTTGGGTTCTGGATGGCTATGATGAATTTCAAAGCGATCTTGATGAGAGAGGCCACAACAATGCCCAGTGGGACCCCAGAAGCCCCCGACCTGTGGCCGAGCTGATTGCAGCCTTGTTAAATGGGCGCATTCTTCCAGGCTGCACAGTTGTTTTCACCTGTCGTGTGCGTGAGGCCACAGATTTAGAGCGCAGAGCAGAGAAAGTGGGGGGACTTCTCCCATGGAACCACCATAAAATTAAGGAGTATGTAGAAAAATACTTTGAAATCAAAGGTAAAGCTATGCAGTACTCTCACTGTTTGTTGTCATAATTTTTGCCTTCCTAATGAAAATTTTATCTGTCAAGGTAATATAGCTGTTGGGAAGCACACAATGAAACTGCTCTTCTCAAACAAACACCTTGTTGCCATGTCGTCCATCCCTGCACTCTGCAGTATCTCCTGCATTTGCTTAGAATACTTAATTCAAGAAATACAACAAAGTGTTGAGGACAAAGCAGATGCACAGAAACACAAAGAAGATTTGCAGCCTGTCCCTCAGATACCTTCCACTCTCACCACTGTTTACCTCACAAGTATTGGAACATTTCTTAGCCACCATTTGAATCAAGAAGCAATGAGTGTCAAAGTAAGGCTCTCACAAAGGTCTGTACCAAGGCATCAGTCATTGATCTATACACAATATACATTAGTGTTGTCATTCATGATGTATGAACTAAAAGCATTCTTTTTGTTCTTTAAGAGCTATTCTCTCATTGACAAGTCTGGTGAGTCACTATAAGTCTGAGCTGAGTGAACTGTTTGAATTGGCCTGGAATGGTTTAGAGACAGGAAAAATTTTATTTCTTGAGGAGGAGATTCCTCACAGAATCTTACATTTTTCTGTAAAGGCAGGGTTCATTTCAGAGGTAAATATCTCTTACTATATAACATTGGATGAAAAGATGAATACAACAAACAAAATTATTATTTTTTTCTCTTTTTCAGACTGATTTGAGACAGAATGGAATTATTGTTACTGCGTACTGCTTTGTACATATCACAGTGCAAGAATTTCTTTCAGCTCTCAAAATAATGACTACTGTTGATGACAAAGAGCTCAGAAAGCGGTAAGAAACTGTAAGCCTCAATTCCCTCTGATGTGCTTGTCAAATGGAAATGAACATTAAAATTACACTGCATTTACAACTTAAATATAAATGCCGTTTTACTTTGTATAATTGGTTTGTGTGAGTATAACTGTATCAGTAACATACTGTTCTAGGAATAACTTAGGTCTGTAAGTAACATGAGTTCTGAAGACGTGTGCCTTAGTTTCCCTAAAAGGAGGCTCAGAAGTACTGGTGTAGGCAGATGGTCAACTTGTCATTTCTTAGTGTGAGGGGGTTGGGCTGAGTTCGAAAGGGAGTTCACATGACAATTCCCAACTTTGATGCAACTACAGCATACACACTCCCAAGATGTTACCATCCTGTCCATCGAAATGAAATTTTGTTATTTTTAGGTTTAGTCTAAAGACCCGCTGGCCTAGCAAGTCCGGCCAGAAGACTGTCTTCACTAACTCCCTCCACCGGTTTCTGTCTGGTTTGGCCTCACCTCACTGTTCAGCTGTTCTTACACTTCTGACCAAAGAGGGTCACACTTATGTCCAAAAACGTCAGGAAACTGTCAGAAAATTGCTCCAACAAATGTGTCACTCCCAGATGACTGGACCAAAGGTAAAATAATTGCTGCTACAAAGGGACATGAGGAAAACCTGTTGGAAAGAAGCATTTGGAGCAGCTTGCATAATTGTGAATGAAAAGTCCTTATAAGACAAACATGAACAGACTACGCACATCGACATCACACTGTTGCGTTGGCTGCAGCTGTTTGTCTTGTCTAAAAGACATTTCATTTTTCACATTATGAAAACTCTTCCGGATGCTTCTTTTTGGCTAAGCTATTCCTGTATTTAGTCTCTTTCCTGTTTTGATTACACACAGGCTTTGATCACCTTTGCAGGCCCCCTGCAAAAACACTGTTCAAGCATAAGAACTGCTCACCTTTCCAATGTTCTATAGTTATTTGTGGATGATGACACATAAATTGTGGTCATTAATGACTGAGCAATTAAATGACTAAATAAATAAATTAAATACAGTAAAATCTGCTTAACAACACAAAATTGCTTTCTTTGTAGGTATTGGAGCTTTGTCACTGTGTTCAGGAAAGCCAGGACACAAAACTTTCCAAACAACTCCTGAGTGTGAAACCTAAACTAGACCTGCACAACATTACACTGTCACCTGATGATCTTGATGCTCTGGCCTTTGTGGTGAACTCCAGTGAGGAGGGAAATATTGCTTTAAATTTTCGAGCATGTTCAATCGAACTAGAAGATTTGGACCTCTTATCCCAATGTCATACAATTACCAACCTCAGGTATGGTTTGTGAAAATCATTATCCATACGCATTTTCTTTCCTAAATTTAAAACATTTATTATAATGTGTCTATTTACTTGGCCTGGTTAAAAGAATGTTTACAGATATTGTTAAAATGTCATGTTTAATTGCTGTATCTGCAGAGTTGTTAGGCTGAGCATGTAACTACTTTGACCTCACATTCTTTAGATAATGAGATGCCACACGACAGCCATTAGATGAACTGTTACAATAGCTCTGTGCCGTGTTGGGTCCCTGTAGTATACATGATCTGCTCAAATGTTAAACATTATGTGAATGCTATGTGCCTTCAAGTGTAGGCTTCATGTTAACATGTTATATCATGGACATGCAATGCTTTGGGTGACTCTTACATTTTTTAAGTGACAATTTTAATGAATAGTATTTTAGTCATGCAGTACACTTATATTTTTGGTTTTGTTAGTTTCCACAGCCGCAAGTATGAAGACAGCTTTGCAGAGAAATTATCCACAGTTTTGCCTAATCTTACTTCTTTGAAAAAAATCAGGTTATTTTATTATTCATTTACATGTTCATTTATAATCAATCTGCCTAATCACATTAAAGTGATATTTTCTCATTTCTTAAGTTTCTGTGATGCACGCTTGACTGCAACAGGCGCGGCTCATTTGGCTTCTGCTTTACCAAAGTGTCCATGCATTACTGAAATAAAGTAATCCTTTTATATATATATATACATTATAAAATAATAAAACTACAGCAGTCTTAGTTTTGAGCTATTGCTTATTCTTGTTAAAATGTTCACTGTTTGCTTTGCAGTCTCAAAGGCAACAATCTTAGAGATGATGGGATGAAACATATCACTGATATCCTCCCTAAACTCCCACAACTTTCCTTTGTAAAGTAAGCAAATGCCTGTAAGTATAAAGTCCATGTAAAATTTACCTTTCTTTTACCGTGTATGTGATCTGTACAGTCTTGGCCAAAACAACACAAGTCTACAAGCAGCAGTCTGTTTGACAAAGGAAATATCTTCAATGAATGTCCGCCGTATTTATATTGAGTATGTGTTCTGTCTATTCTTAAATTATGTTCATTTAAATTAATTCTTTCTCCCCTTTTTTGAAGTGGTAACAATGAAGAGTTAATGGTAACCTTTGACCCAAACCATGACAGGAATAGGTGTGTGGTCTAGCAGAAGTATGCAGTGGTTACTATCACAGTTTTAAAATGTCTTATGTTTTATTTCCTTGTGTGCAGTCATAAAGGTGAAGATTCTGGGGCAGAGATCAGGTGAGGCAAATGTTCATGATAATGTCCAGAAGAAATTCAAGGTTTATATATATATATATATATATATATATATATATATATATATATATATATATATATATATATATATATATATATATATATATATATATATATATATATATATATATATATATACACACACATATACTTTTTTTTTTTTTTTTTATGCCTTGTTCCTCTAGTTTATTAAAACAGAAATGGAATAAATCTGAGATACAAAACCTTGCACAGTCACTCACAGAGTACCCTTCAATATCTCTTCTCAAGTAAGTAACAAATTTAATATATATTTTTGTCTTAGATGTGTAAATAGTCTTTGTATGTTTCATTTGTAGATTATCTGGTCAGTGGAAAATAGAAACCTTAAAGGTGCTTGTACATTTCTTGCCAAAGTTCCACATCACTGAAAAGATAATGTGAGTTGAAGAACAAAGTTGTTATAGTATTCTGTCTTCACAGATGTTTGATATAAAGATGCAGCACTAATGTGAATCACTTTGTTTGCAACAACTATAACCCCATGAAATGTTTATTTTCAGTTTGAACGGCTGCTGCTCCTCATTGGAAGCTGTCATTGTTCTCACCTCATTCATGTCTCAGTGCACTGCTGTCAGTGAGATTCACATTAGGTACGACATTTAATGTGTAAAGTTATTAATCACCGTTGTTGACTTTTACCATTAAATAAGTTACAATTATGAACTTGTGCCATTTCTTCTTAGGCAAAAAAGTCCCTCTCAAGCCATGATTGTTTTTGGTGCTGGTAGTGTGTCTAAATCATTAAGGTTTGTATCCAACTCATATTTTATTTACTGAAGAAGAGTGAAGAAACAGACATTAGCTGAAATGTAAATAGACAAAAATCACTGTTAACATTTATTTTTGCATCTCTTAAAAAAAAATCAGCATGATTTAGTCTGAACAGCAGCAGCCATTGAGTCTGGAGGAAGTTCTTTGTGATCCTCTCATCAGTCTAGATTAAAATAATTTTATGAGTCTAGATTCAAATATAAATAAATATAAATCCACAGAATATTTGTTATGACAAAAGACTCTGGATTCTTTTCTTTTTGGTGAGCTGAATGTGCTGCATATTGTTTCTTTTTTAGTACAGATGATGATTCAGGTATTTTAAGTCCCACAGGACTTTATATATAGTTATATATAGTTCGGCCACGGGCTCCGGCTCCGGCCGCGGACTCCGGCTCCGGCCCCGGGTTCAGCCGCGGGCACCGGCTCTGAGCTGAGCTTATTTCTTTAGTTCAGTGCTGGAGTAACTGATTTACCCAGATACCATTGAAAGAAAAAAATGTGATTGGTCCATTTCCATTCCATTATATTAACCCTCTGTTTCCTAAGAAATATCAGTCCAAGTTTATAACACTGATCTAGAAATTATTACTAGTGTAGTGTTCATTACTCACAGCATAAAAAATATTCAATAAATATATTAGTAGTACAAAAGTCCATTCAATATTTTTTTGTGGAGCCTTCCCTAAACACTTTGAAGGCTCTGAGGGTTTCCCTGTCAAAGAAATGCTGTTTGCACAACAAATGTATGGCTCTTTCATTTACGTTTCCAATAAAAGAGCGCTATACTCTACTTTTTAATTAATTAATTGGTTTTGCGTATAACATGCGATCGCTCGAACTCATGCGATTAATCGCGATTAAATTTTTTTATTTTTGCCCAGCCCTATATATATGTGTATATATATATATATATGTGTGTGTGTGTGTGTGTATGTATATATATATATATATATATATATATATATATATATATGTGTGTGTGTGTGTGTGTGTATGTATATATATATATATATATATATATATATATATATATATATATATATATATGTGTGTGTGTGTGTGTATGTATATATATATATGTGTGTGTGTGTGTGTATGTGTATATGTATGTGTATATATATATATATATATATATATATATATATATATATATATATATATATATATATATATATATATATATACATACACACACACACACACACACATATTAGTAGTACAAAGTCCATTCAATATTTTTTTGTGGAGCCTTCCCTAAACACTTTAAGGCTCTGAGGGTTTCCCTGTCAAAGAAATGCGGTTTGCACACAAATGTATGGCTCTTTCATTTACGTTTCCATAAAAGAGCGCTATATCTACTTTTTAATTAATTAATTGGTTTTGCGTATAACATGCGATCGCTCGAACTCATGCGATTAATCGCGATTAAATTTTTTTATTTTTGCCCAGCCCTATATATATGTGTATATATATATATATGTGTGTGTGTGTGTGTATGTATATATATATATATATATATATATATATATATATATGTGTGTGTGTGTGTGTGTGTATGTATATATATATATATATATATATATATATATATATATATATATATATATATATATATGTGTGTGTGTGTGTATGTATATATATATATATGTGTGTGTGTGTGTGTATGTGTATGTATGTGTATATATATATATATATATATATATATATATATATATATATATATATATATATATATATATATATATATATATATATATATGTGTTTCTCACCTTCCACGGTGGTAGGTCTCTCACCCTCATTGAGCTCGGGTCCTCTACCAGAGGCCTGGGAGCTTGAGAGTTCTGCGCAGTATCTTTGCTGTTCCCAGTACTGCACTTTTCTGGACTGAGATGTCCATTGTTTTTCCCGGTATCTGTTGTAGCCACTCTTCCAGTTTGGGGGTTACAGCCCCGAGTGTCCGATCACCACAGGCACCACTGATGCCTTTACTTTCCAGGCTCTCTCCAGCTCTTCCTTGAGCCCCTGGTATTTCTCTAGTTTCTCGTGTTCCTTTTTCCTGATATTACCATCGCTTGGTATTGCGATGTCAACCACCACGGCTCTGCTCTGTTTCTTATCCACCACCACTATGTCTGGTTGGTTCGCCATCACCATTCTGTCAGTCTGTATCTGGAAGTCCCACAGGATCTTGGCTCGGTCATTCTCCACAACCTTTGGAGGTGTTTCCCACCTTGATCCTGGGGTCTCCAGCCCGTACTCTGCACAGATGTTTCTGTACACTATGCCCGCCACTTGGTTATGTCGCTCCATGTATGCTTTCCCTGCCAGGAATTATATATATATATATATATATATATATATATATATATATATATATATATATATATATATATATATATATATATATATATATATATATATATATATATATTCCAATGGCCTTAAATGACTTCTTACCAATATTATAGGGTGAACTACAGCAGCTTTAAGCCAGGAGATGTCACTGCTCTATGTAACACGCTGATCCCATGTCATGCATTTTTGGAGTTGGAGTAAGGATACATGCCAATGCTACTATAGAAAATTGAATGATTATTAACTATGTATTACTTTGCTACAGTTTGTCTCATAGCGAACTGAGAGATGATACAATCCAGAACTTAGCTGAAGTCCTGCCAAAGATGTCTTCCCTTAACATGCTCAAGTAAGTATGTTAAAATGTTAATGTTATTTTGTGGCATCAGGTGTTTTATAATTGTATGATGGATTGATAAACCTTTTATTGTCCCCAGGGGGAAATTCTTTTTCACAAGCACTGTCTAACATAGATGCAAACAATGAAAACAAATAGACACAGGGAAAAAAAACACACACGTTGATGAGGATCCAAATTGCTGCTGACTAATGATCCAATGTGATCATAGTCGTATTACATAAATAGGGTTTTAGTTGTTGCTATGATTTGTGATTTGTGAAATGTCATTTTGAAAGGAAAGTCACATTACTTTCATGTTTAACAGCCTTCTATAAATATTTGTAGCCATTCAAGAATGAGTACTTATGACAGGTGCAAGTAGTCCTGTCTCTGTAGAAATATTTAAGGCCGTCTTGTCACAGAAGGAGAAAGCGGAATGTCTCCTGTCCTAAATATGGCTTCCACAATAACAGGTGGTGGAGGACCATTTCTGTGTCGCTTAGGGCATTTGGTTTCTCATGTCACAGCCGGTGTATAAAGCCAGTGTATGCTTCCTCTCAGAGTTGAGGCACCTTGCAGCCTTACACATGAAGATGTGGGAACAGTTGCTTAAATGTCAAAGTCAAGGACGACATTAGCTTAGTGAGCGACATTAGCTCAGTTGGTAGAGCGTTTGTCCACTTATCTGAAGGCTGGCAGTTCAAATCCTGCTTTTGACTTAAATATGATTGGAGCAATTAAATCCACTGACCCACAGGTTGACTGGTGTGATTCCAGCTCCCACAGGTGAATGCTGTTGTTGTGTCCTTGGGCAAGACACTTAGCTTACCTGCCCCCCTGGTGTATGAATATGGGTGAGTGGTTCCTCGTAAAGCGCTTTGAGTGCCTTGAAGGTGGAAAAGTGCTATGTAAAAATGTGATGTGACCATTTACCAATAAACACCTATAATCACTTTCTCCTCTTGAGTTTTTAGGAGTGGGTTCATCAATTTATTTTATTTAATTTCTCCTTCTGAATAACATACACAATAGATAATTTGATCCAAAAGTGAGAGACTGAGGACCTGCAGTTCTCAGAAGCCCAGAATTTAAATGTTATGTCCTTGCATAAGCTGACCCTTTTTAAGAGGCATTACTGTGTGAAGGCAGTGCTCTTAAGCCCTGTGAAATCCATCTGTCCTTCTCTTTAAAGGTCCTATATTATGCAAAACTGACTGTTGTGAGCTTTAAGCTACATTATAATGTTGTTACCACCTCAAAAACATACCCAGAGTTGTGTTTTGTTACATTCACACACCCTGAGTAATCCTGTAGTCAGTTCTCATCACCAAAGCCCCCAATGCTCTGTTCCACCTTGTGATGTCAAAGCGAAACAGGTCACATACGGGCACGAGGCTACAATGTGCAAGCCGGGAACTGTTGAAACCATGCGGTGCGCACACGTCCCTATCCATGACAAGCGAACGGTTCAGCTTTTTTTCATAAACGTGCCACCCCTACTTCTATTCTTTTATTACATAAATGAATCACACATTCCTTTCTTTGAACCAGGTTGAATGGCTGCATTGTATCCACAACTGGAGCTCTGATTTTAGTGAAAGGAGTCACTGGCTGTGAGCGAGTGAAATCTGTGGAGCTCAGGTATTTACATTTGCTTAATCGTTATTTATTTTATATTTCTGTCAGTGGATTGGTCAACTCAGACTGAAATACAGTTTACAGAATGAGTCCAGAGTAATTTTTGACAGAACGAAGTCAGACCAATTCAGCTGCAGGTAAAATAACATCAAATTGTGGGTGAAATGATGCTTTATTTACAGTTTGTCACTTAGCACTTAAATTTGTGTTCATTGGCACAGGTTCAGCTATTTTAGTCTGGATGGGGACAGCTTGGGGGGACTGTTCGAGGCACTGCAGAGTGGACCTCAACTATCTGAACTGGAGTATGTGGTGTATCTTTAATTAACAACATATTGTTTGCTCAAATTCAATTAAACAAATTGTATTTTTCTCCTGTAGTCTATCAAGCAACAAACTGGATGATAAAGTCATTAAACATTTTGTGAACTCTCTGCCGGGGCTAAAAGTCAACAACTATATAAAGTAAGATGTAATAATATTAACAGTATTATTCTTCGGATACACAACACTAATAACAATGCATGTATATATTTATTTTCTTCACAGTTTGAGCAATAATGACTTGAAGGAGCAGGGCATGTTAGATGTGTCTAACACGCTGACCACATGTGACAATGTTTCAGCTGTAGAGGTGTGGTAAGTGCTAAAATAGAGTCGTCATACTTGTTTGTGAATAATTTTTTTGTATGTTTTTTGTCTAATTCTCTCATTCTCATTCATCTTTAAATTGTCAACAGCCTGGCAGAAGACCCAAAGTGCCTCATCTGGTTTACACAGTGCAAAAAGAAGCAGAAATGTCTAAGGTGGAACACCGCAGGCATTCATTGTTTCATACACATACAATTTATACATTTTTGTGTATAGTGTATAATTTTTGTGCTTAAGAAATTATAGACGATGAATGATAATACTGAAAAAAATGTATGCCACTGACACAATCCAAGTGCAAATTTAAACCACAACAACAATTCAAAATCTACAGTATGGTCAGAAAACATGAGCTGCAACACTTTAGTACTTAGTTTGTATCTGTAATGAGTCATAAAGGTTATTAATTCAACTTTTTCAACTCAAATCTCATCATACAGTCAAAAAATAACCAAACAATTCCCATTAGTGCAAAGAAAATGTCCATACGCTAAATATTTACCCCCAAAAACATACTGTTCCCTCTATCATGTATTGAACTATAATTTAATATTGTAATTAGCATGACAGACCTATTTGTGTAGCATAAAAAATGTTGTACTGTGATTTTTGTGTATAACTGTGTTTGGTATCAGAGTCACCGGGACAACTCTGACTCCTGTCCACCAAAGCCAGTTAGTCAAGATTATGTCCAGTTGTCAGCTTCCTGTCACACTAGAGTAAATTTCGTTCTGTTTTTTCAGTTTAATTTCCATTATTCTTTGAGCTTTACATAATTTATTTGTTCATTAAGGATGAAGAACTGTTTTTCACACTGTGTTGAAGAGTTTGTTGAAATGTTTGACAGCAGCTGTGCTGGATGCACTGTAAAGTGAGTTAAAATTAATGAGGGCTTTATTCATAATTAAAGGTGCACTGTGTAACTTCTCTGGTGGAGGACCCAGCACTCGCTTGGCTCCATGGAGCTGTGCCTAAAATGTTCCACAGTATGACCATTAACTTAAGAATCTCCATGGAGACTTGCAAGCAAAATTACAGGTTAGATTTGTGAAGAGGTGGCTCCACTCACAGTAATAACTGATGCTTTTAAAGACATTTTTGAGCACTTAAACACTTACGCAAACAAATACAAGACAGATTATTTAAATAACATTCTGTGCACAATTTAAACCAAAGCTCTAACATCTCCATGGAGACAAACAGGCTGTGGACCCTCTCCAGAAAAGTTACACAGTGCACCTTTAAACCTCTTAACTAAACAAATGTTTCCAGTATTGAGGAGTCCTGGATCAGATCAGAAGAAGCTGTGCGACTACTCTGTCATTGTCTAGAGCATAACAAGAACATTAACTCAGTCAGGTAGAAAAAAAAACACACAAAAGACAGTACTAACATTTAAAGTGACTAATCCACCTGTTTGATTTTAGGATACACCAGAACACATTATGCCTGAATTTGGAGAACCATAACAATCCTACCGGGTATTCACTTTGGAATTCTTTTATTACATACTATATACTAATGTGCAGTTGAAAATCCTGCTCTCTTACGACTTGATTAGTGTGTTGATTTCCTTTTTTACATCTCTTTTACTCATATTGGTAGTGTGAGTCTAAAAGCAGTGAAGAACGTGTGCATGTAGTATCATATTTCACCAGTAGATAGTGCTAACTTGTGAACTTCAAAATCATCAATATTCTTTTTGTTTGTCTGTATTCAGTGCACTTTGTCTTATCAGTAACAAACATTATTTCTTATTTTCTCTGAAATAGTAACATCCTTCCACTCCTTCATTTGAGTATGGTGAATTGTGGAATAGAGGGACGACATCTTGCACTCATGAAGGATACTCTGCAGAGATGTGTTCACCTGACTGAGTTAAAGTCAGTAAAATTGTATTGGGATTTATGTACTATTATGATTTTTGTATTTACTCAATATTTGTTTTTATTTTCAGTTTATCACAAAACAACCTTGGTAAAACAGGGGCTGAGATTCTCTGTTCTGTTATCTCCTCATTACCACAGCTGGCTTCCTTAAGGTAATATTCTCTCCCTTTGATTTTTGTTTTGTTTTTTATGGTTTTGGCTCTAAATGCTTTGTCTTAAACACAGTGTTGACAAAGACAGCTATGCACATTTTGCTGAAATACTTTGTAAGTCCTTGTTGCAGTGTAATGAACTTCAGTATTTGAGGTAATTTAACTATCAGTGTCTGTTTCATTGTAATTGTGTCATAGTTGTGTTTCTTACATATAAATTGTTCACTTAGTCTTTCAGGTTATGTGATAACTGAGATTACAGCTCAAATGATTACCAAAGTGTTACCCCATCTTAAATCAATAAAGTAAGTGTTTTATTTTAAAGGCAAAACTACATGATTCCCATTATATCCCAGTAAAATTCAGTTTTGTTGTAGTTTGTCACACTGTTCCTGGTTAAATTCTGGAGGAGTGCAGCTCATCAGAAGTTTGGCACATTGTGAACACCTTGAGGAGATTTGGTAACCCCAGTACACATGTTATGTTTATTTATGGTTCAATATTTTGTGCCTTTAGTATCATACTCTTTGTCACACATATTCAGTTGTTGTAATCTTGGAAGATTTTGTTGTCCAAATACGCATAAATGAAACAAAAATCTATTCGGGTTCTGGGTCTCAGCACAAACCAACACTTTTCCCTGCATGCCATTGTCAGGATCTCAGAATAGTTTGTCCTTCTTTTCATTGACCCCCACAAATGTCCAAACTCACCATTAAACTAAGTTTAAAACTGTTGGCAGCTTTTCCATTAATAGGTTTGTAGTCTTCCATAGAAAAGACAAGGTCATCAACAGCCTATACTTGATCTTATACAATGTTTTTGTACAATGTTTGACTTACTTTCTGTAACTTAATGGTTCATTGAATGCATATTTTTGTTTGCATTTTTAGTTTGAATTGTGTGCAGCTTGATCAAGAAAGTAAAATGTGCCTGATCCAGTCACTACCAAGAACCCAAACATTACGTCGCCTCCAGTAAGTTGTATTTATTTATTTGATCATTAGCACCACATCTTATGAATAGTGAGAGATTTACTATTTCACTGTCAGTCTCACGGATACATGCTGGCACTATTACTGTGTTTGTTTATAGTAGGTGTCTTACTCTCTAATAATCTATTTTTGATTCCCTGCATAAGATACATTTGCCCACACTCACACAGTTATCATATTGCAGCTACCGTATCTGGAGTTTATCATACCTTCTTGTCAACAGCTCTTCTCGCGTGAAATAAAATTATAGCCCTTGATCTCAGGGATCACATTTCCACATACAGGAGTACAGTAATTAAATTCATATTCTCTGTGTCTCTGTTGACAGTGTCTGGCAATGACACTACATAACTGTAATGTCACTCTGCTTAACCGCATATAAAAGTCCTGTTATCAGCTGGCGGGGGCAGTACATAAATTATCCAAAATGAGGTGTTGATCTTAGTGGGACTGGAATAAGCCCTGTAGTGGCTTTTCGGCTATTTGTATTTTCAACCACGAATAAGGAGGGAGTGAGGAGTCTTTGAAAGCATATGTGTGTCTTTTTATTCTTATTATTTTATTTTATTACTATACATGAAACTGAAAATAAGCTCAGTACTTTTTTGCGATTTCTGCTGTTTTCATTGCAGGCTCAGTAACGCATCAACATCATCAAGTGTGTTTGATGTCCTTGCTGCAATGATGGATCTTGTACACTTGGAGGAATTAAAGTGAGTCTGAAAACAAGCTTTAGTAAATCATTAAAGTATAAGTACTGTAGTAATTCCAGTGTTGTTTTCAGAATGAACAGCTGGAAGATAGTTGATAATGAAGTAGACTTGTTAGTGAAGCTTTTCCCTCTATGGACACATCTTCAAATCATCAGGTGGGCTTACATAAACTTTGTGTGTGTCTGTGACCTCATGAGAATTTAGATAATATACATGGGATATTAACAAAAATATGATTCAGTTTAAGATAAAGTGTATTTTGTGGTGCTCTTTCCTGCTGTTATTCCTCTTACATTATATTACTATGGGGTGCAACAATGACTGCCCACTCATATCCACAAGTAAATTTTACATTCATTTTTTCCACAGAAATTTTAAAAAATCCAAACATTAAGAGCTGAAAGGCATTGCAGAGGCTAATCAGATATGATCAGATATGTAGTGACTATTATCCATAAGGAGGTGGTTTTAAGATTCAGTGAAATGCTTTAATAACTTAGCAGCTTATAAAGTTTCAGAAAAACTAATTATAGGTCTTGTGATCTTTAGTTACCATTTAGCTGATTAGCCCTGAGAAAGCTTTAGAACTTGAAATACACACACGCACACACACACACACACACACATATATATATGTGTATATTTTTACAGAAAGGATAGGAAAAATTTATAAGAAATTTACTTCCGGTACCAGGAAGTGGATGATCACTGTTGAGCTCCATAATTTTCCTTCTTAGTATATTTGATCCATTATCCAAACGTCTGATTGTCTCTTTTCATACTGAATTGATTACTGAAATGTCATAATAAAATAATACATATAATTTCTTTTTTACAGTTTGTCCCAAACTCTTTCCAGTGACCAATCAGGCGACAAACTGCTAGAGGCTTTGAAGAGCTGCACTCATCTGAAGGAGCTGCAGTAAGAATGATTTACTGCTTTTATTTATAGAGGCACTATTTCATTTTATGGTGGAGGTTCAAAAACCATAGACATAAAACTTACCTTTCCGCATGGAGATAAGTAGGTGACTATTTGTAGCTATTGAAATTTTGCTATTGATACTGATGTCCTGGGGTTGTCCACAGGATATCTCAAAACCATCTAAGCGACTGTACTGCAGCAAGAATGGCCCTTGTTTTCCCATCACTGACCCACCTATGCGTGATTGAGTAAGTCACTGTGTTTATTTTATAGCATCATCTGTATAAATATTCAAATTTTTTCTTTTATTCATTTTCAGTATTTCAGAAAATAACATTGGCCCTAAAGGTTCTGTGGATTTGGCTAAAGCGATATCCAGTTTAAAAAACCTTATCAAGATTAAGTAAGACTGCCACGTAGTTTGTCTGTTTTTTTTTTGTTTTTTGTTTTTTTTGCTGGTGACCTTAAGTATTATTATACAGTGCTCCTCCTCTTTCCTGTTCTATTGTTAGTTTGACCTCTGTTGGAACATCGGAGCTTTGTGCTGTTGTTGCTAGCCTGGTAAACTGTCCCCTGTTACAGGATGTGCGGTAAAACTTTCGACCAAATCAATAAAACTGCATCATGTTTACTTATTTTTTTATTTACTAGTTGATTTTGACTTTCTAGTATGGGGTGGAACGAATGTGGTGACGATGTGGCCCAGGCTTTGGTCAGAGTGCTGTATGTTTGCCGAAGTTTGGAAAAAATAGAGTAAGCTCAACATGGATCTTGTGTTATATTTCTCTGCATCTTAGTATACATCAAATATAATCTATCTACAAATCAATTAAATGTGTAAAATATTAAGTGAAATAAATAAGAATGTTTTCTTCAGTCTGGAGTGTAACCGTGTGAGTATTGTTGGAGCTGAGGCCTTACTTGAAGCGTTGCAATTTCGTCCTGCACTGGAGATAATCAGGTTAAACAATATTAACAGAAGTTTTCTGCTTTTGTTTAATGGCTGGTAGTTAAAAGTTTGATTTATCCTCTTCCAGGCTGTGGAAAAACAGAGTATCACCCGCTGATGAAGAGAAACTCAGTAAGAAAGACAGAAGGCTCAATTTCTCCTCAACCTAAACTTGACTTGATATTATTACAATGGAATGTTCTCTGCGACTTGAAAATGTGATAAAACATAATTACTTTTCTACTTTTTAGTAATAAGCTTTTTCTATGAATTGCACTATATTTCAAATATAGGGACTAAAACATTCAAAACCTCAAAACACAAAAACATAATGAATTATTATTATTATTTTAATCATAATAATTATTATTACATATAACTATTGTTTTACTTGAAGCTTGAGCTGAGTTTACACAGACTTTGAATGTAAAAAGTGAAGAAGAGTGCAGTTTGTTCTATTTTTCTATTTATTTGTGTCACTGTGATTTCTGTTTTCTTATTTGCTGTGGAATTAAAATTTAATTTCTCTTGAAAGGTATTTTGACATTTATTTTTTCACTTTGCATCCTATCTTGTCTTCTTTTCAAGAGTAAATACTTTGCATCTCCAATTACATGTTCCAGCAAAAGTTATAAACTATAATATTTATAACTTACTGTAACTTAGAACTGTAACCATAAACATGTCACACAATACTTCTAAATGCCAAAACTAAAATTGCTTTCTGGCGGATCCTAGTGGCTGAGAGAGGCGATGCTGCCTTTTCCCTGCCTAAATAAACCCCACCATTATTAAATGTTTTCTATTGAGACGAGTTTTTAACACGTTCTTAAAAATGCCTTGATCTTTTACGACATCAAATAGTCTTGCCACAAGGAGGCGTTAGTGGCATTTTCAAAAACCAAGTAGAAGACTACACAGTATGCATGATTTATTATTATTAGTTTAAGCATTATAGCTTTCTTCAGCATCTAATCTTGATAACTCCAGATTGAGACACTTGGATAGACAATGGACATTTTACATTTTCTAAAAATAGAAATAAAAATCTTTTACTTTGAAAAATCTTTTACTTTGAAGGTGCACTTCCGATGGGTTACCGATAGTGCGCGCTCATGCGCGCTTTACGCATGATCCAACAGCCGCGGTGCGCACAGGGAAGAGTTCCATCACCGGGGATGATTTACAGCCACACACTGTTGCGTTTGCCAGGTTATTGTGGATAAAATGGCAGAAACAAATTGTATTTTTTCGATCTCGTACAAAAAATAATTTCTCGGATTGTTTCTTTGGCCAGTGCTCACAAAAGTTTTAAAAAAGAAATCTACTAAAGCAGAAGTTGTTCGTCGTTTATTTAGAGAGGTGAGTATACCTTTTTGATGAATCATATTGAATACTTGACGACATACAATACATGCACCTATTGTGTTTTTCTGTTGATTTTGGAACTACAAGTACCCTAAGGTAAGTTGATTTGTATTTGTAGAATGAAAAATAAAGCCTTTATGATTCTATATTGTTAGAACAAAAACTGTTATTGACTAAATACAGCATCACAAAATTTATAAACTCCCCAATTCCCACCCTATATTTGACTCGACTATCCACTAAATTATTGTTTATGCTCTATTTGGGATGAATATGACAGGCAGGACATGTAATTAATTAGACTTAATGACTGTGTTAAAAGTCTGCTGTTACAAGGGGACAGACAGCTGCATGTTACTCTGATCGTCCATCAGTCACAGTTAACTAACCCGTGCGTCAGGTGGTGAACCCTGCAGAGAGGTGACAGGTGTGACAAACCTGGAGTGTACGTGCGTATTCAAATCGGTCATGTGAATCAGCTGGACTCAGTGTGTTTTATGGAAACGTCTAAATAAACAAACAGCCCCTAAATGTCCAGCCTTAATAAGTCTGATATGTAATGTCTTTATTCATCCTAAATCACAAAAATGACTACTATTTCCTCCAGTGCATTGATAATGATGGTGTGAAAAAGTGAATCTGAGCAGAATTAGTGAGATTTTCTTTATCTGAGGCTTATGGGTTTGTTATTGTTAAAGCCCCTATGAGTGGATACATTAAAATGGAGAGCCTGGCTGATGGATGACTCTGTGAATGAATGGGTGAGTGAATGAAAACATCTTAGTGTTTTGAGCCCTACAGTGTGACATCACGGGGCAGATTGGGAGGAGTATGCGCTGGTTATGACACATTAGTATCTTAGCAACAGTCAGCATCCTTTAACACAGCTTCAACTGCAAACCTCTTTTACTAACACTGCTTGTTTGTCCTTGAGTCCTCAGGGATCATTTTATATACAGACAGTTACAGTATGTACCAGATATATGGTTTGAAAACCACAGTCTCACACAGTGGTTTGTTGGTGGTTTTGAGTATCACTGAACCTAGGCCTGTCATGATAATTACTACATCAATTTAGTATTTTTAGTGCTGATAGTATTGTTAGTCTATATAATAAGATTTGAGCCTTAAAAGGTAACTTCTCTGAATCATTACAGTTGCAAACTAAGTGCTATAATGTTTCATTCTGTTATTTATCTATTGCAGCTCATGGTGTTTTAACAATATTGTAGATATATAAAATAATGTTTATATTTTGTATTTTCAGTATTGTCATTTATAGTTCATATTTTTTTTAGCAATATATTGTAATTTGTTAAATTTGTTATCGTGACAGGCCTGTCTGGACATTAATCAACGTTAAAATTCATTGTCATTATAAGTGACTTAAATGTGAATGTGGATGAGTACTTGTTTCTCAAACAACACAACCAGTACTTTCTAAGCTGATGTTTTACTGTGGTGATTTCATGAGGTCTACAGGAGGGTTTTGCAATTATAAAATTTTTACCAGAGCTGCAATTATTATTCTTATTATTTCTCCAAACAATCCCAAAAGTGTAATCATAAAAAATATTACATCCTATTAATTTGAAATTAAACTGTCTTTTTAATTTTATGGGTGCTCTGTTATAATTATCTCAACACTGACTCAATATGTGACTATTTTTTATTATTTTTTTCAGTTTTACCAAGAAGTCATGTTTAAACATGTGTGCGTGTTAGCAGATCGATGTAACAAATGATTTCTTTTAATAGCTTTTTAGTTAGAAATTGACCAGTATGGGTTTTTTCATGGCCAATTCTGATTTAGAATATGGAGAAACTGAATATATTTTTACAGATATTTTTGGGCTGATATGTAGACCGATTTTGACATTTTTTGCCAATTTATGCCATTTTTTATTTATGACAAACTCACTTACAGTGCCTTTTTTACCACAAACCTTAAACAGAGCAGTGTAATCACGCTTTGAACAGTCATCTCATCTCAAGTGTTCAAATAAACCTTTGTGTGTACTCTTTAGGTGGCAGGTTAGTCAAAACTAAATATTGACCTGTGCTGAAGATTTAAGGCCAATTGCTGATTCGCTAAAAAGTGCAAATATCAATATATCAGTTTATATCACAGGTGTCCAAACTATGAGCAAATGCAAAATAACATCACATTGTATTGTGTGCATTATATTAATGTTCCAAGATTTTAAATACATCCATCTGAATGATCCACTGTAGTGACCAGCAGTCTGTTTTCCTCTGATTAAAGTAGGTTTCAATATGTGGCCCTCTTTGAACACCCCTGGTTTATATGTATTATAGTAATTGTTGTATGTTTTCTCTTAGGACTGTTCAGTGTGAAAATCATGGCCTACACTCTGGGCTCCACCACTGACGGTCAGACCCGTGTGGGCCCTCAGCACTGTGTCACACGGGTGGAAATGTCTGTCACCGCCACCAGCCTTTTGGACCGAGATGTAGCCTCCAAATCGGACCCCTTCTGCGTTCTGTTCCATGAGGTGGATGGGAACTGGGTGGAGGTAAGACTGCCACTGAAATACCACACTGCAAAAACTAAAATCTAGTCAAGTTAATATTATTTAATTTTTTTTTATCATGATGTGAGTAAATTTCACTTGACAAGTAAAATTATCAACCAATGAAACCAGACTTTTTGTGCCTAAAATATGAAAATACGTCTTGCTGCACTTAAAGGTGCATTGTTTAACTTTTCAAGTAGAGGGTTAGCCACCTGCTTGTCTAAATGGCATTACTTTGTCTGAAATGTTTTACAGTGTAATATTAAACTTATCTATCTACCACCCATTCAATTATGGGTGTTTTTATTGCTCAAAGAACAGCACACCTACAGTCAGCACAGATCATCTGCACAGATCTGACCATTATCTTGCTTGTTTCCATGGAGATAGTTGAGTTTAATACCATGTTCTTAATAAAAGTCATTTTAAGTTATCTAGATATTGCTTTTTGCAGTGCTAGAAATGGTTAAAGCAAAAGGGTAGACTAGCTTTGTCTAAAATGGATCCAAGATGGTGGAGAGTCAAGCAGAACAGTTTGATAATGTTTTTTTTTTTTTTTTTTTTTTTTTTTTTTTTATCAGCATGTGTCTTCCTACAGAGCAGGTTATCAGACAATGGTACAGGGTTTGTAGGTTTTGAAGACTGAAAATATATATGGTGGGATTCAAGGTTTATATTCCCAATGGCAATATTTTATTTGTAGTTTTTACTTTGAATGTGGTGTCTGTTTTGAATCGGATCCAAACACATGAAGTCTTGACCATCTGGCATAAGCCTGTGCATGCTGGGCTCAGTAAGTTGGCATAACAGTTGAGAGAGTCATAATGTGCTGCTTATTACTTCATTAAAGGGACATATTAAGAAAATCAACTCTTAAGACCTTTTACTGTGTTATAATTGTGTTCCCTCAGTATAAGATCACTCTAAAGGTATATTTTGATCAATTCATAAATGTTTGAGTGTTGGCATTGGCTTGCATGTGAGGTTGAAGTGCTCAGAAAAGTTGGCTTTGGCCTGCCCCCTATTACCACCCAAAAAATTCAAACTGCAGGTCAATAAAACCATAGTATGTAACATTTTAGCCAAAAAAAAAATATTGTATAGTATTTATTGCACTGAAAAACACAAAAACATACACCCTTTTCAGTGGGCTTGCATCTCCACCAACCTGACTCTTATTTAGCCTTATTTAGCCTCCTTCTTGATCCATGGAACTGTTGTTATAATCTTCCATAGTATGTCATAAATGTATTTATTGAGAGTGTTCTGAAGTATGACTTTAACTTTCTAGTTCCTTAGATTCATGCAGGTGACACCTCCTGATATTTAGATTTTATGAGTTTGGAATGATGAAATACAATGAGATGGTGCAGTTTTGATCAGGAAAGCAGTGAACCTCATTCTATTATTTTAGAGCAATATTGTGTTTCACAGTGAACAAAATGTAAAATAATGATCTATACATTCTATAATTTAATACTAAAGACCCCTCAAAAAGCATGATAGGTTTTCTTTAAAGACTTCTTGCAAAGAGGTATAATTATGATGACAATTTATGCAGCACGAAAGAGTTGTACGGGCGTTAATGTTCCTGTTTAGGTGTTTGATGTTCTGCAAAAAGGTGAGAGCGAATAAATGAAAAACTGTTGGCTAATGCTACCTAGCTTGTGGCTGTAATTTTATGTGTGATAGATTTGTTTAAAAACACAAATCTTCTCACCTGTTGTAATTCCAGCTGAGTCAGTCATTTCTGGTTAGATTGTAGGGACGTAACAATAACTGAAATATCAAATATACATTACATGTCTCTTTGCTTAAATTAAGAGTTGAGGTCCAGTAATAGCTAAAAAAAGACAGCGGGAACTGCATAGACCATGATCCTTTGCTACATCTCAGTGTGGACTGCAAGAAGAAATAACAGTTCTAAGCACTTTTAAGGAGGGCTGTGCAAAAATATCAAAATATCAATATATCGTATCGTTTAATGTGATGATACAGTATATGGGGCGTGGGCTGCTGTATCGATATATCGCCAAGAGTCTTTTTTGATATATTTTACTAAATTATTTTGTTACATCGCCACAGTTTTGTTGCTTGTTTAGTGAAAAGAAACTTGTTTATGGGACACATTCGTCATTTTCACTGTTTTGATGAATAAAATGTTTGTGTTTCATATGAACTTTGTACAAAAAGTGGTTTAATAGACTTTTGGAATCACAGCCTTTATATTTTATAGAACCGTATCGAATCAATTTGAAATATATTGTATCAAATCGAAAGCGCGCTGTATCGAGATATGTATCGTATCATGGCCTACGTATCGAGGTATGTATCAAATTGCAACTTCTTCATGATACCCAGCCCTACTTTTATGTCTTACTTTTTGGATTAAGTCTTAAGTATTGTTGTATGATTGGATATTGTTACATCCCTAATCGTGAGCCTCCCCACCACATTGTGAGCTTTCCCGCGATATCGCAATAAATATCGTACCATGAGGTTTATACCTTGACATTATTGTATCCTGAGACTTGGATATTGTTACACCCCTATCAGATTGTGTTAAAATAATGCTCAGATTAAAGGCTAATTTGAGTAACAGAGTTTCAGACAGAGCAGTGCTTTCAGTTAGCGTCACACCCCCACAGAATGTTGATAACTTCAGCTGCAAAGTATCAATAGAGCTATAGAGCCACAATATACTTGAAAATTAACCCGATTGGATTAAAATTAAAATACAAAATACTTAAACGAGCTGAATATTTGCAAGGTTTGTTTCTCGATATGCTCAGTGAGAGAAAAGGTGCAATCAAGTGACAACGGTAAATGACTCACTGATGTGATTTTGTGTACCCTCTTGCTCTCCTCTGGCGCTCACAGCCTCTCCTCTCGTCTTACTTCCACAACAAGGACGCCACTCAGATCACGGAAACAGTCCCACCTCAATGCAAGAGGCGCTCCTGCTTTTACAAGGACTGCAAAGTATCTATCAAGCTTGTGGATGCTAAAATCTGATCATCAACTTATGTTGTTTTAACCTGCAAATAAGGCTAAGAAATTAATCAGATTTTAATCATCATTTTTAATTGTCAATGATGCTATGGTCTTTTTAATCGAGAAGTCAAAAGCCAGTCCTCTCTCAGTTTACATTCATGAAATTAACACTCAAAGCCATTTTTATTTTGTTTTTGATAGGTAAAAATAAAATCAAAAGTCCAGACTGATCAACATGAGGAAAGAAAACGTGATTCATTTTTTGGCCATATCACCCAACCCTACTTACCTGACTAGCCAGAACCACACACTTTGACAAAATTTTAAAAAGACTAGTGGATGTGGAGCTGTATCCCGTCTCCCTGATTTCAGAGGGTGTGATTGACAAGCGGATTAACTGATCAGAGAGAAGCGTGGTCCGCTAGCGTCAAAAACAAACTTGGCGGCATTCACGTAAAGGGGAAAAACAACATAAAGAACTGGGAAACCTTGCGGTTTTTTCTCAGAATCATCAATCAAAGCACCAAACTATTACTTATTTCAGATAAAAGAAGTTATATATTTTGTTCTGAATGTTGTGAGAATTTTGTAGAGATGTTTTAGGCATTTGAGAGACACTTTATACAAATAAGCAGCTGTGGTTGGATTGTCTCAAGTTTGGACGGAGGATTTTCACTTCTGGATTCAAACAGAATGTGGCCGGTCAAGCAAGAGCCCTACCTGCAAAGATATGAAACTTTTAAATGAATCCATGAATTACATGGATTGGGTTGTGCAGTTTCGTTATAATTTGATGTAATAGTTTCTTTTTTGAGAACAGCACAGGAAAAGGAAAACTGCTATTGTAGCCGAAGCTGAGGTTGGTGTAGGCTGCTGCAGGTCCACAGGGCAGGCTGTGCGCTGTGTCTGTGTGTGTAGGCGAGTGCCTCGGGTTGGGAGCGCTGACGGTCAGAAGGGCACGGGCCTTCAATGTTAAACTGCACATGGTTTCTATGGCAACGGGAGGGGAAACAAAAGCTTAGTGCTGCGAGAGTGAGGGAAGGACGGAGGAGGAGATGCAAGACATGAAACCTTTTATTTTCGTAAATAATCTCACACGCAGTTTGCAGTTTGTGTCAGTTTCACCAAGCTCCTCTGTTTTTTCCCGTCTTTTTAAGATTAGAAGTTTACTTCTTGCATCAGAGCCTTTCCAGCTCGTTCTCTTAGCGCTGGTCCCGAGCATTGAAATGGTTACTTTAGGATTATCTGAAGAAAAACTGAAGAAATAATGCAGCACCTTTAACAAGGGAAGGCTTCAAGTTCAGGCTTAAGTACAAGATACATCTGAGGACGAACATCTCCTCAGCAGTATTGTTCTGTCCTTATGACCCCAGACACATGCTTCCTGATCTCTTTTGTCACTCTGTCTATCTTTGTGTTGTGAGATGGAGGTGTGAGCAGCAGCTGGCTCCATAAGGAGAAATAGTGCACACGAGAAGAGGCTGTACGAGGTGTGAAAATGATACAAAGAAGGAGGTAAAAAACCCTGTGAGAGTGATGGACGGTCGCAGGTCCAGGAGGAGACCACAGCCGTGGCAGCTTACCAGGAGTGGGTCTCAACTATGCAAATGACGTGGCATAGTGACTAATCAGGCCATTTTCTAAATCCTTTGATTCTCTTTTTCTTGCAAGTTCCAAATCCTGAAGCTAATCTCTGCCTCGCTGAAGACTCTGATGTAGCACAAATGTGTGAACTTGTAGGATGTGTTTCTTAAGTTAGAAATGGTCAAACTCATTTGGGTGGTAGCAGAGAAACAGAGTAAAAGTAAATATCTGTAATGGTCAGCAAGTTCTGTTGTTTCAACTTAAATAACAAAATCACAGAGCACAAACCACAGAGCTGAAATAAGAATATACAACAAATGTAAAAATAATGAATTTAGTTTTTTGGGTCAGTATTTTCAGTTTTGATGGCTATCCAAAACAAGTTTAGAAGCTGGATTTACACTGACCAGGTCTTGGCTAAGTAAACCAGGCTGTGGATGAGGCTTAGTCACACACAGCAAGAGGGATTAGTCATTAAAATGACATTTTGGAAACATCTAATAGTGATTTTATGGACAAAAATTCAATGAGATTTGTGATTTCTGTTTTAAACTCAAGATTCATTTAATAGAGCACTTTTTTCACGTGTCCTGGGGCCTTAGCATTTGAGAAAAAGTGAAATATAACCACTAATTTGAGAAATACTTGCAATTCAGACCACTTTTAAAGAAGTTCAAACTACTAATTTTTCACATAATGAGACTCCGTGAAGATGGAATATTTTGATCTCAGCAGAGAATAATGTATTGTAACTTCTATAGAAATGTATCAATTTGCTACTTGCAAATTGGAGTTTTGATTTAATTGCACTTAATGTTGCAGCTCCATCAGACTTACAACTGTGTGCAGAAGTTTTAAAGCTAATTACAGTCCTGTGTTTTGCTCTCACTGCTCTCACACCCACGCACGGCTCTGTCTGCAGACTGGCTGGATAAATGAACATTATCATATGTAGTATATCCAAGCAGGGCCTCCTTACAGTTATATATGCAATGAAATACATCACATTTAAATGTTTTATGGCCATAGCATTTGCCATTGATAATTTTAAAATCAGGGTGAAACAGTTGTATTCTCTAAAGAGTTTTCTGATAATATTACTTTGGGTGAACTAAATTCAGTTTTTTTGTTTGTTTTTTTATTTAATTTGTTATTTTGCTTGTGTAACTCTAGGGCCTTCTTCTGTCTCACATTTGCACCAATATGTTTTGGTTTGCAGCTCGGCCGAACTGAAACAGCTGTGAACAACCTGAACCCAGTGTTTGGAAAGAAGTTCCAGGTGGACTATCACTTTGAGGAAATCCAGAAACTGCGCTTTGCCATGTTTGATGAAGACAAGTGCGCCACACAGCTCTACGAGCATGACTTCCTTGGGGAGTTTATCTGCAATCTAGGAGTGGTACGGCACCGTTCACATACAGTTCAAACACAGTTCAAACACAGTATAAGTCTAATGTCTATAATATCACAATTAAAGTTTATAAAATTAACTGCTCAGGAAGAACATAATCTAAAACATAATCTCTCAACCTATATAGTTTTTTCATGGCTATGATACGATACTTATTTTTTAGAATCCAGAGTGTCTGATGGCCGATAAGCTCTGCTGACATTTTTGGGTCAGTATACTGTATATGGCCGAATTGGATGAGCTGAGAAATGTATTCGACCAAATAAACTTTCGTCCAATTGACAAATTGAATTTCTCCTTTTGCTATGGCCGATTTTGATTATTTTTCTCAAATTATGTCATTTAAATTTACTACAAACTCACCCACAGCCCTTTTTACAATAAACCTTTGAGACAACAATGTATCACATTTAGTTGTAATTTCTTCATATGAAAGTGTTAAAATAGAGCTTTGTGTGCATTTTTTGTCAACAAAAATCGACCAAAAAAAAAGTGCTGTGCTGAAGTTTTAAGACCGATAACGGATACACTAAAAAGTCCAAATATTGGTCTGTCTCTATCTAATGTTACACTTTAACATTTGACTGGAAAGGAAATTATTAATATTGCATTCGGGCCCCAAGTCTTTGTCACAATTACCAGCTACTTGCAGGTTTTGCCTTGGTTTTGCCCTTTGGATGCTCAGTAATGGTTAAGGTGATGTTTCAGTCATGCATGTTTCAGTAATGTTACACATGTTTCACCCTCCTGAGCAGAATAATGATCAGTTCCACCTTGTTACACCATGTTGTTAAAGTCCATCGCATCATCACAGTCATTTTCAATTTGCAAACTAGCAGTGGTTTGTTTTAGTATTATTTACACTGATCACCCCTCAGTGCCCACATTTAAATAATTAAAGCTTTTGTTGTCCTCCAGATTGTGTCAAATAAGAAGCTACACAGACCACTAATCTTGGCCAATGGGAAACCAGCTGGCAAAGGGTCTATTACGGTGAGCTTAATTCACAGCATTGTATTTTAACAGCTGTTGTAACATCACACTAGGTGGTTGGTGGTACGTTGATATGTGTGATGATGGCCTTACCGCGCTGTCTGTCACTGCTGCTCCTGATGCTCTTGCCATTGCCTGTAGATGCCACTGTTTTTGTTGCTGCTAATGTTGTGCAATAATGTTATTTTAGATAACAGCTCAGGAGCTGTCTGACAACAGAATCATCACTTTAACCCTGAGTGGGCGAAAACTGGATAAGAAGGTAGGCATTTAGACCCTACATACACTTCTGCACATGAACACACACATACCTGCCCACACACAGCACAGATACAGTACATGTGATCACACTTTTCACCTGTGCTGCCTACCAATAGGCAAGGAGGTGTATGAAAAATAACTGGAAATCAACTCTGTGTAGGATTCATTTATTTTTGGTCAAACTCCAGTGGAAGTTACAGATCTATGGAGAAAATAGAAATGAAAGGTTGAAAGTCATTGTGTGTCTATCTCACTATAATAATAACAATATTCGAATAATGTGTTCTTTCCCTACGTCCCTACGAGATAAAATGATTTTTTGATGGCATTTAAAAATGAGCTGGAGGACAGGTCAAATTTGCCAATCAGTCAAGCCAGGTAAAAGTGGAAAATGCTGTTGAATTTTAAATTTTGAAGTCCGATTTACTGCTACAGAGATATACTACGATAAAAGATAATATTGAAACTACTTTATGCCACTGATACAATAACAATAAGGCCTGAACTTGTACAGATAAAAGAATGAATCAGTAATTAGCTGTATAAATTACTTTTTCAACACCCCACAGCTCAAATCTTACTGTATTACAACAGAAACATCTGAAATCTTCCCATTTTTGCAAAGAAATTACACACACGATAAATATTGAGCCCCAAAACATATTGTATCAGCTTTCATATATTGAATGATAAGTCGATATAGTAATTTTACTGACAGATTGCGGATCTGTTGCCCTCTTTATGTTTAATGTCTCTCTAATTACTGGGCCTATCCACATGAAACAAAAACTGGCTCAAAGTTCTTCGCTATCAGTACCACAAGATGCAATTCTGACTTTATAAAACAAAAAGTGGTGCAATTATTCAACCACAAAGATATGATTGTTGTTGATGCCATAAGATTAATACAGCTCATTTTTGGAGCCAGTCCCAAACAAATCAGGATAAAGAACATTTGTGGATTTTTCTATTTGAATATCTATTTCAAAATAGTAATTCTCATATACTGTTAATAAGTGGTGGGACTTGCAAGTTGTGACTTGGACTCGATTCAGACTTGGGACACTATTTTTAGGACTTGAGACTTGACTTGATAAAATGGACTAAGACTTGTGAGTCGACTTGGACTTGAAGGTCAGTGACTTGAGAAGACTTGAGAAACACTTTTAAATCTGAATTCTTTCTATTCTGACCCACTATAGTCACACTAAGATCTTGTCAAAACATTTAAAAATAAACATTTACATTCTACAACTCTTATAAATGCTCATATATAAATATACTATGTTTTTTTAAAAGTACAATTTACTTTAAAATTCATATAAATTGCAAAAATCTAAGACACATTTGGTATTTTGGTTTAAAGACTTGAATTGACTTGAAGCTCAAAGCAGACGACTTGGACTTGACTTGGACTTATGGGCCAATGACTTGAGACTCGACTTGGACTTGCCTGCATTTGCCTTGGGACTTGACTCTGACTTGAGGTCAAAGACTGAGACTTGCAAAACAACTACTTGGTCCCACCTCTGCTGTTAATCATAACAATATGTTTATGTTTGTTTTAAATGTGCCCTATGTAACTTTTTGGTTGGGGGTGTATTTTATAGCTCAAAAATACCTAACAAAAAGGCATTCTGACTTGTGAGTGGGGTTGCCTCTCCACAGATCTGACCTGTAACTTGGTCTGATTTGGTCTCCAAGAAGACAGAAAGGTTTAATACCATACTGTGGAACATTCCATCCAAAGCAATGACATCTCAGCGGAGAAAAGAATTTGCCAGACCACCAGAAAGTTACACAGTGCACCTTTAATGTCTCATGGTGCATTTTGAGCATTTTGCACATGCTTTTCCAATGTGTTTTTAACTACAAATGCCAAATAAATTAACCTAAACCTATACTGTCCATACATTCATCCCCTCACTGTTACTTTTGCAGGATTTCTTTGGCAAGTCAGACCCGTACCTGGAGTTTCAAAAGCAGGGCGAAGACGGCAAGTGGATGCTGGTGCACAGGACAGAGGTGAGTCATGCATCCTGATAACTGTCATTACTGTCGACCATGAGCTGTCATTGTCAACCAAACTGCTCCTTAAACACAATGGCCACTCCTGTTGGCAGCGCTCAAGGTGATTTACAGGTGCATCTTGGGATACTGGTGAGGTTACTGCGCTACACACTGTTTACCTGTTCTCAGAGGTGCCAATTTGTGTGTAATTTAGGTAATAAAGAACACTTTAGACCCCTCGTGGAAGTCCTTCACTGTGCCTCTTATCTCTCTGTGCAACGGGGATGTGCACAGAAACATAAAGGTAAGCGTAATATTGAAAATGGAGTTCTTTGACATGAAAGGAAAAAGGGGCTAATGTTTCTTGTGTTTCTGTGTGTGTGTGTGTGTGTGACAGGTTTTGTGTTACGACTACGATAACGACGGAGGACATGACTTTATAGGAGAGTTTCAGACGACTGTTGCCAAGATGAGTGAAGCCCAGAATGGAGTGGAGGTACAAGTCCGATTCATTTGAACCAGTAGATTTTAATGTTCCAACAGAAATCATTTTCTCGACTCTAAACATATTGTAGTAATTCATCAGGCTCTTTATTCCAGGTTTGCATCTGATAAAATGTTTTACAGTTTTTACAGGTGGATGCAAACAGTGCAAAATGCTGCTTTTATAATATAGTCTATGGGCAGAAAACACAATTTATTCATTTACAAAAAAAAGTGGTGCGCCCCAACTTCCAAAAACATCTGTATAATTAACAGTTAAGAATGTAATATATATGTAATGTAATGTATATTGGAAAAACTAACAGTCCTATATTACGCAAAATTTACTCTTGTGTGTCGATTTCCAAAGCTCAAGATGCTCAGTTCCACCTTGTGATGTTATGAAGCAGTAGTTTTCAAGATAATTGCTACCTTTAGTTCAGTAGAGATTGGCAATTCCAGGGCTGAAATTATCCAAATGATTCCACTGAAGTTTAAAAACACAGTGGAGTACTTCCTTTATTGCCACATGACATCACAAGGTGGAACAGTGTTTTATGTGAGAGAAGAACTCCTCCTAAATAAGCATGATTTGTGTGTGTCGTGTGAATGAAACAAAACACAATTCCTGGTATGTTTGTGTTGAGGAAACAACATTATAACATAAATTAAAAAAAGAAAATGACATAATATGAGCCCTTTATTCATAGCAGCCTCTTGCCTGCCTGTATCATCAGATCCATCAGTCACTCAAGTAATTGCCAGTGTAAATTTGTTAGTGTCTGAGGCTCCAAAGTTCTATTTTAGTACAAATTAAAAGAATATCCTCCGTTCACGCAACATTAATTTGCAGTCCAAACCCCCCCATTCCCTGTGTCAACACTGAAACTGGAATAATCATGGGTATATTTGCATAACAGCCTTTTTAATACAATGTAACCACAGAAGACTTCCTGGGTCATGTTGGGTAATTAATAAACACCCAATAGGTTTCTCGCTGTTTGCTCTGGCCTTTTCTGCTCGGGTAAAGGCGTATCAGTCCCCCTCATTTAGAAGTAACTTTGTGTTTGAGTGTGCATCTGTGCATACATGATTCATTCCTGAAACTGAATTTATGCCAAATCCGCCTTGTTCCTGCACAGTGTCTCTTCATGTGTGCTAATGATGTTGGTGAAAAACAGGCGAGTAAGCCGTAGAGGGGCATAAGAGGGGGATGGAGAGAGTGCGGAGAAGAGGATCAGAACATGGGAGGTGTATTAGGGAGGTCTTTAGCTGAGCTGCGTAACTCTACAAGATGTTTTGAGCTACCTGTCAGCGTGCTCCGCCTGGCTTTGATCACCACTGTTACTGTGTAAGGTGTACCCCACTGCTTTTCCATACATCTTAATGCATAGCTGCTTTGGGCATCATTGCACTATGTCTAATTGTATAATAAGTATAAGTATTAATATAAAAAAAGTCTTCACATTTACATGATCAAAATTAATAAATGTGTGTCCTACTGCTTTTCCATGCACTTTAATGAGAGCTGCTTTGGGCATCGTTGCACTATAATGTGTAACTGCATAAGTATAAAAACAAGTAATTTTCATATTAACATGATCAAAATGATAATAATTGTTATAATAATTAAATTATAACAACTCACTGTATATAAACACATGCCTTTTATCATCTTGAATCCCACATATGCACAGTAATTTTGCTCACAGACAGAACACACATTATTTTTAAAACTTAAAGGGCCGATATTACAAATTTTCTGATTTATGTTATAATGTTGTTTCCTCATCAGCATACCTCGAATTGTGTTTTGTTTCATTCACACACGTTTAACACACATATCCTACAAATTTAGGCTGAGTTCTTCTCTCAAACAGAAAACTCTCTGTTCCACCCTGTGATGTCATGTGGTAACACAGGAAGTACTCCACTGCGTTTTTGAAATCCGTACACCTGGATTTTTTTTACACAGTGGAACAGAGCTTTTCGTGCTTTGGATATGTAGACAGACTCAAACTTGTGAATAAAACAAAACAAAACACAACACGTGTTTCTGAGGACACAAACATGACTTAAGGCTCACATGAGTAAATTTTGCATAATATGGAATCTTAAACTTTTTTTTTTTTTTTCAAATTTTCAAAGTTTTGTGTTATGCATATATTAAACCAACCATTTATAAAATATTTTAACGTGGCCTCATCAACTATGACATTTAAGTATCCCTCCCCTTTTTTAATGTCATAACTTAACTTAATATGTTGCTAGTGACTGCAGTAGATGTAATACTATCACACTGAACTTATTGTAAGACTTGAGCAATCGCACCATCTCAGTTATATCTCATTTCACCCATGCCCGAACATGTGTTTTCTTTGCTGTCTACAGGTGGAGTTTGACTGCATCAACCCCAAGAAACAGAAGAAGAAGAAAAGCTATAAAAATTCTGGGATTATTATTGTCAAGTCGTGCAAGGTGAGCGCAAACCTTTAACTATTACACACTGAAGGATAGAGTTAAAAGTTAAAACTGCATCATGTCACTTTTCTGCTGGTCTCCATGGATTTGTTATTGCTTTTCCTGGATTGTAACACAGTATGCCATTAAACATATAAATCTTGCATTGTTGAATTACAGCTTTTTCAGTTCCGATACTGATTTAAATTCTACTATAGCTATCAATACCTGATATCAACCAATAACAGTGCAGAGGCTGGAAATTGTATTTAATTCCAAAAATAAAAGAAAGCAAAACTGACCAAAATGTGTTCTTTATCTCTCAAGTAACTTCTAAACAGCTTTGTATGAATAAAAGTTCAAACATTATGAGACTTTCTGGGCAACAACAGCAAGTAAATGGTCTTATTACATCAATTTGTCCAACCAAAATATTAGCTGATCTGATATTTGGAAGCTGAAATCTGATCCAGCAAATTTTTCAGTATTGTTGTCTATATTTGATACCAGTATTGTATTAGTGCGTCCAATAAAATGCCTTCAGATCAAACCACACCTGACATAATAGAGAGGTATACATTTAATGCCATACTGTGGAATATTCAATTGAGGAGGGAAGTTGGTGACGGGTCCTCCACTAAAAAGTTACATTGTGCGCCTGTAACCATCAAGGTTAAGGCAAACTTTGAACTATTCAGGGCCCCTTCTATTATGTTGTAAAATGCATAGTGATTTTTTAAAGTGTCCAGCAGCACTGATTGTACTTGCCCTGTTTTATTCCATTTTGAGGTTCTTTTGCTCCCAAACTCAATGAGCTCTGATTAGCCAGCAAGACCTCCCTGATCCATTCAGTCGTTTTTTCCTGTCCCTGCACTTGTAATGGCCAAGTGTGCTCAAATATAGCACAATTATGACGTCAGGGTAACAAAATCATGAAAAGTCCCACTGAGACTCCAGAGAACTGTAGCTCGGAATAAAGCTCTTATACTCGGCTGTAGTGAGTGAATCTAAGGCTTACCGTGTAGATTAAGAAGAATGGTTAAAAAAATGGAGATTCCAATTCTCTGACTGTCTTTTTCCCATTCAGTCTTCTGATTGAAAGAACATTATGTCTATATTCACATTTGAAAGTTGACAAATTGTTCAACGTGAATAGGTGCTTGGTGAAAATTACAATCTTTTTCAAAATTTGGTTTGTCCCAGAAGTGTTTCTAATCGATACTAAAACTATAGTATTAGAGAAAGAAGCACTACTAATAAAATTTTGTATCTTTTAATACAATATTGTATCTATGTTTAAATTGTGCATTATTTATACACTGCCAGTTGAAAGTTTGCACACAGTTTTTAATTTGTGGTTCTTCCTTTTTTAATGGTTATTTACACTGTAGATTCTCACTGAAGCATCAAAACTAAGAAAGGACATATATGGAATGTAGCAAACAAAAATAAACTCAAAATAACCCAAAACATCTTTTAGATTTTAGAATTTAAAAAATAGCCACCATTTGCTTCTATCACTGTTTTGCACTTTTAACATTTCTTGACCCTGACATGGCAAAGCTGTGAAGTGAAAACCATTTCATGTGAACTCATCATGAAGTTCACTGAGGGATGGAGTTTAAAGCACTGTCCACAAAGCAAAGGGGGAAAAAAAACAACATTTAGTTGAGTTATTTCACTTTTTTCTTTTGCTACATAATTCCATATATCTTGTACCATGTATTTGATGTCTTCTGTGCGTATATGAAATGTAGAAAGTATTAAACTTAAAGGTGCACTGTGTAACTTTCTGATGGCCAATTTACAGGCCAAGTTAGAGGTCAGATCTGTGGAGAGGTGAGCTTTCAGTAGGAATGCATGTTTTTTTGTAGTATTTTTGAGCACTAAAACCTGTAATCGAAGGTGAGTTTAATGCCTTACTGTGAAACATTTCAGACAAAACTAAAATATCTCCATGGAAACAAGCTTGTGGTGAACTGCCTACCAGGAAGGTTACACAGTGCAAAGACAAAAATACAATGAAAAAGAAGGCGTGCCCAACCTTTTAGCTGTTAGTGTATAGCGTTTTAAGTTACCCTGAGTACATCTGTGTGTATAACTGATACTTCTCTATCTTTCATCATGGCCAGTCATTTCCACTGTCCCACACACACATAGAAATACCAGGACAGTGACATTTGCAGCACATGCACGAGACAGCTTAATGTGCTAATTATATTTGTGTGCTGCCAGCTGGGATTAGTCTAATGACAGTAGAATCCATGCTAAACATTCATTGTAACTGGAGTGGAAATTGTGTAAAGAATAAGATTACAGTTGGACTCTGCTGCTGGAATGATATGTCTAATGCTGGTGTTACTGTAATAAAATGCTGACTTGCTGTATATACTATAGATGGGACATAAAAGGGCCCATATGATGCTATTTTATTAATGTTGTTTAATCATCAAAAACAGACTTGGAGTTGTGTTTTGTTTCATTCACACATGTTTAATACAAAAGCATATTTAGGCTGAGTTCAATATAGTACAGAAAGCACTCCATTGTGTTTTTAAACTCCATGCACTTTTGCTAGAATCATCTTGATCATTACAACCCTGGAAATTTCAAGCTCTGCTTAATTAAAGGTAAAATGTAGCTGTTAACTTGAAAACTACCACCAAATGACATCACAAGGTGGAACACAAGCTGGAAGGTGGAGTATTTTGAGCTGATGTAGACAGACTAATAATGCAGAATTACTCAAACGTGTGAATGTAACAAAACACAACTCTGGGGTGAAACTATAATCGATCGTGTGACATTTTATAATCGTGAATGAAATCGTGATTATTACCAACAAAGGAAATGACCGTTGTTTCATCAGAATGTGCAGAAAAAATCTACTTATCCAGGTTGTTTTCTTCTAGATCATTGTTGTTTTCAGTTGTAACAAAGTTGTTTTAATATGGAACTAATTCATAATATTAAAATTAATATTATTCATACCCATGAAACAGTCAGCAACTTTAAAGGTGCACTACACAACTTTTCCGGCTCTCTGCTTATCTCCGTGGAGATTAGGGGTGTGCAAAAATATTGAAATATCGATATACTGTACCGTTTAATTTGATGATACAGTATCGATATCATGGGCTCAGCAGCCCATGATATCGATATAATAACCAAGAGTAATTTTTGGTATATTTTACTAAATTATTTTGTGTAAGAGCTACAAAAGTGTTGACATTTACGCTGTTTTGATGAGTAAAATTGGTGTTTTTCATATTAACTTCGCACAAACTTAGTGGACTTAGTAAACCTTTAGTATCACAGCCATGATATAGCCTGAACTGTATCGAATCGATGTGAAATATAGCGTATCAAATTGTATCGAATCAAAAGCTCACTGTATCGAAAAGTGTGTCGTATCGTAGCGTGTGTATTGAGATATGTATCGTATTGACAACTTTTAATGATACCCCGCCCTAGTGGAGATGTTATTGCTTTGCCTGGAATATTCCATGGTATGACATTAAACATATCCATCTGTCCATTTATTCATTATAGGTGTTTCTATTGCTCAGAACTACATGAATTCCTTCTGTGAATAGGGGTGACTCTCCACAGATCTGAACTGTAATGCAGTGTCTTGCCTGTAACCTGATTGCTTGCCTTGTTAGATAGGTTTAATTTATACTGTAGAACATTCTAGGCACGGCCGTAACATCTCCATGGAGACAAGAAGGTGGCGAACCCTCCAGTAGAAATGTTACACAGTGTATCTTTAATCATTATAGTGATATTATTGTTAATCGCAGTTATTTTTACACCAAATTTCAATATCGTCCCATGCCCGCTACTATATACAGATATGAATATAGTTGTGAAATTACTTGGACACACGCAGAAGGTACCAGTGTCTAACTCTGTATTTTGTGCCCGCTTTTAGATAACAAGAGACTACACCTTCCTGGATTACATACTGGGCGGCTGCCAGCTCATGTTCACAGTGAGTATGACATTAGCATGGCTTTCTTCTCTACCTCTGCGCTGATACCGTAATGAGATACATGTTGCTGTAGCATACTGTGCCCGCTAAAAACAGATAGGAAACAGCTCTATTTGCATCTGCCAGGGTTAGACTTGGCTCACGATCATTTGCATAAAGGAGATGGAACTGCGAGAAGGAGATGGTGGGAAAGACTGTTGGGAAAATTGTGCATAAATTGTGAGTATTTATATAATAAGTGAAGATTCAAGGACATTGAGATGATTTAAATAGAGAAAATACAAGCTTGTTGTTAGGCTGATTTGTGTGTGTTACTCTAAATGGGTATAATATGCAAATGGTATTGAGGAAAATTGTAAAGAATATTGATTTGTTTTAATGCGATATCAAAAGATCCGTCTGTGGAAAATAATTTAACCAGTGTACAGCCACATAAAAAATATAATAATACAGTTGTTGCTTCATCATAGTAAAATCTACATTGTTTTAATATTCTGCATTATGTAATAAACTTTAGTTACTACACATTCAGAAGATTATTACAAAATACGGGTGTTAAACTTTTTTTGTCCACATGAAATTAGAATACCAGTCAAAAGTTTGGACACACCCTCTCATTCATTCAATGTTTTTTGTCTTTATATTTACGACTTTCTACATTTCAATAGAAAAAATTATTATCATGATTATTTTGGTCAATATTGAAATCACTATTATTCGAACGATTATTCATGATGCATTTATTCAGCATTTCTGTCTGAAAAAAACACTTTGTTATTGATCATTTACACAAAACTTTTTTTGTGTAAAATAAATATAGGCTACAAATATGTATAATATAATATCGATAAAGCAAAGGGTAACTACTTTGAGGATTTGAATATAAATATGTATAAAAAAAGTTATTTAAGATTTTTCCTTTGTTATGTAATGCCATATATCTTGCTTCATATATTTGACGTCTTCTGTGTGTATACAAAATGTAGAAAGTAGTAAAAATACGGGGACAAAACACATTGAATGAGATGTTTGTGTGTCCAGTCTTTTGTCAGGTAGTGTATTATCTCAAAACAAATCAACAGAGAAAACAAGTTGTATTTTAGTGAACAGGAATAGGATGGAAATATCATGGTAACTGAAAGCTAATTAATACATTTATTTTACTGGCACTGTTTCCATTAATGATACTTTGCAGCGGCATCACGATGGGGGTGTGCTACCTGTCTCTCTTATGCTGAAATGTTTAAGAGTTTCCATGGTAACACAATGCACCCTGTCAAAAAAAATGTTAACATTGTCTGAAAACTCAGTGTATGATGCGTGAGAGACTTTTCAGAGCGCACATCAGCTCACTTGTTGTAGTTCCAGCTAAATCAGTTCTTTATGGTCAAATTGTGGTAAAATAAAGCTCAGATTAAAGTCTGATAAAGCCTCAGACAGAGCAGTGCCTACAGTTAGCATCACACGCAGGCTGGGTACTGTGTCTTGTCAAAGCACATTAAAAGTCTATCCAAATCTTCTGGTTAGTATGCTCTACCACTGAGTCACATTTTGTCATAATCCTCAATATGTAATTAGTGGGGAGTATTACATAATATGGCGAATTATTAAAAATTAGATTACTTTTTGTTTTGATCTAGCAGAGCCGTTTGTTTACTTCTTTGTTGCTGAAACATGTCAAGGTAACCAACTGGTTTGTTAGATGAAAATAAAAAGTAATTTGAAGAAAAGAAGACCACATGAACCTTTTTGGAACATTGAAAATTGGGTATTATTATTACATGATGAAGTGGCAATTTTATTATCCTAGCTCACATTTTTAAACACTTGACAAGACTGGTGGAAGATTCTGAAATTAAATTGCTTTTATTACTCTATATCTAAGTGCTAGAATGGTCTCCTACATGTATGTTAGGGTTGTTGGACTACTTAAAGGTGAATTGTGTAGCTTTTCTGAGTCTGTCAAATGCTTTTCTCTGTTGAGATGTTATTGCTTTGTCTGAAATATTTCACAGTATGGCATTAAAACTTTCTATCAGACCAAGTTACAGGTCAGATCTGTGGAGAGGTGACCCAGTCAGAGTGAAACTACCTGTAATTAAAGACATGTAAGGTAGATCTTTTTGAAGTCATACTGAAGATTTCAGGCAGAACTGTGACATATCCATGGAAACAAGCGGGTGACGGACCCCCAACCAAAAAGTTACATAGTGCACCTTATAGGTATATAACATAAGTGACGAAAATTATAAATATAAGAGGAGGAAAATCGTTCTAATTTATTTATCTTGTGTTGGAGGAACTCAGTGTCCCTGGTGTGGTCACACTTTTGAAGCTGAGAAAGTGTGAGGGTGCGATGCTTAATAATAGCTTCACAAACAATAGACTGGCTTTCTTATATAGGCAGTCTCAGGACCACTGGCACAAGGACAGCGCTGTCAGTGCAGTCGACATCAATGTACACTGTCTAGACTCATCCATACACCAGGAAATGTGCAGATGTGAGCAGACTTCTCACCACCAGGCCCTGGTAATGGAGTTTGGGCATGCCTCATTGTGTAGCACTTCCTGTCCAATAAGACACCTGTGCTTCACGAGGTTGTATGGGCTGCACTGCACACACGCGTGGGAGATGGTTCAGTGGTATATTTTAGAAAGTGGGCTTTGTTGCCTGAGCATAATGGAGATCAAAATGAGACAGAATTGCTGGGTTTCAGATGATATCATAACATTCTATACACCAATATTAGTTAATAAGATGGGGAAGCTAAAGTGAATATAGTTGAAATGCAGATTCTTGTTGAAATACAGTGAGTTCTTGGGTCTAGTCACTGATAAAAATGATCAGCTTCAACATTTATGATTTTATTTTATTCTTTATATATTTCATGGCAATGTACAATGTTATCTGGGAGTTCTACGTCATCACATTCTTGAATCTGAAAAATACCAATAGGGAAAGGCTTTTAATGTTTATGAAATACGTCGATCTTTATTGAGTATCCTCAGACTGCTGCATGTCTGTAGTTATACTTGGAGTCCAGGAGTACCTTTTGTTAGCCTGATTCATCAGCCGGTTTCACTTTGTGGAAACCGTCTGACCTGAAGATTTGTTCACTCAACGGTAGGCAGGTACTTTTGTTTATTTAACCAATCGCTGCTATTTGATTGTGATGTATGTAATGCGCCACTAACGGGGTTAATAATGCTCTGTAAAGCGTCTTTGGGGACAAAAAAATGTCTGTGAAAAGCGATATATAAATTAAATAAAGACTTACTTACTTACTTACTTACTTACTTAACTGGTATATTAATCCCATAGAAAGAAGGGCAATAACGTCTTTCCCCTTGATAAAATTCGCCAAACATTCTCTTTGTTCTGGCTTTAAATCCTCGAGGAATCGTTGCCAACACAGAATGTATGGCTCTTCACTGATTGGCTGGTACCCAGACTCGCACTTCCGCGGTTTTTGCAAATTGTCTAGGGTATTACAATTTCTGACCTAATCGCTGGAAAGAATTGAAATTGAGTGGAGGCACTAGGTGGTCAGGTGACTAGGTTGCCAGCCTGACTGTAACCTTTTGTATTCCCACATTCAACCTGCAAGCTGTGTATTAACATAAGCCTTGGGTTTTTAGACTGTATGGAACATCAAATAATTACCAGTGCCTTTTATGAGATCAGTTTGTTGTTGTTTTTCTTTCTAGATATTTAAGTACCATTCTTCTCTGGAGTTTCATGGTGACCAAATTAAACTCACTAAACTATTAGAATCGGGTAGAGCCGTATTTCACAGCAGCTGTTGGATCAAGGTTTATGGCAAAGCGAGACTGTGCAAGATTTAAATCTGTTGCCATATCCCTAAAGGTGGGGTCTATTTTTAGTTGTATTTGGACAGTACAATGTGTGTGTGTGTGTGTATTTTGACACATATTCAGGCATTGAATATATGTTTTTGCAGGGCATGGTTGAACCCCACAGCGCCCACATATGTCTTGGGTATATGTGGTGTATGTTTGCTGTTGTAAAAGGTAACGCAGTCATTATGTGGAGCACTCGTCTGCCTGTAGGCCTGACCGAGCAGAGCGCAGAGGTGCTTTCACTCGTGTTGAGCTGTCAGGGGGAGAATGCTCCTCAGGCCAGACTAAAGCCACGGTGAAATCCCGGGCAAAGCACACAAACAGACAAGAGAATCGAGGATACAAAGAAGCGTAATGACGCTGAGGTGCACATGCAGGGCTGTTTTCTTGTTGCCATTGATTGTGCTGTGATAAGATTAAGATAACAGTGTGAGTAGCCAATTTTAAGGTGAATGAGCATTTCTTGAGGCTTGCAAAACTTTATAATGGGCAAACGCTGTAAAGGCAAGCTTACTGCAGTTTAAAGGTGCACCGTGTAACTTGCCTGATCCACATGTTCCACAGTATGGCCATAAACCTAAGAATGTCCATAGACTTGCAAGTTAGATTTGTGGAGAGGCAATCCTCACCTTAAGAATTAATGTTTTTAACCAAAGTATTAACATCTCCATGGAGTCAAATACGTTGTGAACCCCATCCAGAAAAGTTACACATTGCACAGTGCATGGTACTTATTTATTGTAATAGTCTGATCTATGATTGCACAATCTCCAGGAAAATGTTCAGGAAAGTCCAGTGCTTCCCTATATTAGAGAAGATTATGGTGCCCTCACATTTATGGCCCCATAGTCTAAAAATAATCTGAACAAAATAAATCAAATTATGCTTTATGCGTGTAGTATTGTCTTAAACATATAGAAGTAACTATATTTTATCTGTATTTAGCCATATTTTTTTTATCAGCAAACCCAAAAAGTCTCATTATTGTCCATATATCGTATTGAATAAAATGATTCAAATATCGCTTGCGCCACCAGAGTCTCAGACAGTATACATTTATGGGAAACACTGAAGTCATTATAGACATAACAGATCTAAAGGAATGTTGGTCCCCCACATAACAATTGGGTTTTCAGCGC